CCCCAAAACCCCAAAACCCCAAAACCCCAAAACCCCAAAACCCCTGACTACTAAATACTATTGAGAAAATTATTTTATACCTAAATAGTGAAGGTCCCAATTATGTTCTGGATAGCGTTGTTGCATTAATTGCTTTCTCTTGTACTCATCTTCTGCCCAGTTCTTATTCTGGACAGACATATACTGAGAATTAGACTCTTCGAAGGCAGCAGTGAGCTTTTTAATGTATTCCAATTCTTCGATTTCAGTTTTGTTCGGCTTTTTCTGAAGCTCTTGCCTCTCTTTCATCTCTTCCTTGATTGCTTTGTACAATCTCTGATGCTTCTGGAAGATCCGAGCATCTGAGTTTTCAGGGGAGAGATTCATGACTCTTGGAGAACCATGAGGAGAGATTATCTCAGACAAAATACTTTCCATCATTTCCATGTTTACATCTTGATCTATTCGAGGTTTTATAGCAAATTTATTTAAAATTAAAGGATTTAATGAGCCAATTAGAAGCTGTTCTCACGTAGAAGACTTGTATGAAGAGAAGACAGAGAAAGGTTATAGTAAAAGTTTAAACCAATTAAGTGCGAAGTTAGTGCTAATATATGTCGTCTTATCCTGGTTACCTTCTTCTCCGGAATGCTTCTTGCTTGAAGAGAATAAATCTGGATTCTTCAAAGATTCATCTGTGTGCTTAGACACACCTTTTCTCTTGCTCTTGGCTAGTGGAGTGGATTTGACTGGATTGGGCTTTGCACCTTCCTTCACAGCATTAGATTGTTTAGAAGTAGTTGGCCTTGTCTCTCAACTTAAGACAGACTTGGCCTGAGACTCTGGAGTTTTCTCTTTAGAGAATTTACCAGATTTTTGTGTAAGAGTGTTACTCTTTTTGCCATTCATGGCACTTACAGGGGTACTCTGAGCATTTCCATCATCACTATCTGTTTCAGTATGTGATAAGGATGGGAGATAGCTCTGTGAGAGTTTATCTTTGATCTCTTTAGAGATTCAAGAACTCTCAATCATAATGACATCGCTTTCATTGTTCTTGCCAATAGCTTGATTCAATCTCTTTTGGATAATCTTGTTGTTTTTCTTGAGAAGACTTATGGATGCACGAGCTTGCCTTTTCTTCTCTCTTTCTAGTTCATTTTTCTTAGAGGAATCATCTTCTTTGAATGTGACATTCTTTCCTTTTTGATTAGTTTTAATTATGAGTACTGCTATTTTTAGTTGCTCTCTTTCTCCGGCTAATTCAGAAAGGTAGTCATCAAAGGTTTGACATTCACTAGCATGAGTAGTAGAGTCTAGCTTTCTTCTTTTAATAGCTCTCTTTGTAGCATCATCTCAAGCATTTTTACACTTCTTAGATGATGAGTTCTTTGGCTGGGCTTTACTTCTGGTTCTCTTAATTCCTTTCTTTGGAGCTTTTGGATCTTTCTTCTGTTTGGCAGAACTCTTGCTACTCTTGCTATTGCATGGCTTCTTTGGAGTTTTCTTTCTTTCAGAAACTTTCTTCTTTTGCTTTACAGGCTGTACCTCTTCTTCTGCAGCTATATTTTAAGTAAGAAAATAAAATTTTAAATAAGCTATTTCTGATTAAAACCGAGAAGGATTCAAAGATACGCAGTAGGGGAATCTACTTACTCATAATGGCATCAGGCATGCTTGACTGATCCTCAGGTCCTGTATCCTCAGTTGAGTCCTGGGCAGCTTTTTGATTCTTTCGACTGACATTTTTCACTGGTTGAACTTTGGGCTGAATTCTTTCCTTTCTGCTTTGGGATCTTGTTTTAGGGAATCTAGGCTTCCTTTCCTGAAACTTCTTCTTCAGTTCGGCAGCCTGGTAGATTTTCTGTTTCAAGGATTGAGTCTTCTGGTTGTTCAGATTGACTTGTCTGATTCTTTTTGAAGAGCGAGTAATTCGTGAATGAAGATTTGCTGCTTTTGCTTTCTCAGCTTCTTTGCTTGCAGCTCTTTTCTTTGACATTGACCGAGTTATCCTACGCTCTACTTTTCCTCTCACGGAGATCAAAGGAGCACTCGATTTAGACAACTTAGCTCTCTTTTTATTTCTGTTTTGAAACAGTTTCTTTTGAAATCCCTGGACTCGCGGAAGATAATCTTTCAGACCGTCTCAGACTCCGAGCGTCCTTGCTCACCCCAGTGTTCTTCTTCTCATCCTTTCCTTCTTCTTTCGAACCTATAGGTATTACCTAAACGTGCCTTACATGTAGTGGACGAGGCCTCCTTCTTTAAACCAGTCTTTTCTTTCATATTTATTCTTAATTCAAATTGGCTGAGTTCATATGGGGTTTTGGGGTTTTGGGGTTTTGGGGG